CGCCTGTATCAACCTCTCGATGGCCGTCTTTAGTTGATGGCAGTCATCAGTCTTGTGTCCATGGTGGCTGTGAAAGCGGCAGTAAGGCTCATCAGGGCCGATGGCATAGATCTCGAGGGGTGTGCGGGAGTCTCGCTCCACGAGCCCTTGCTCCTCTGTGTAACCCAAAATGACGCTGACGGGATGTGTCAGGGGAGTGCGTGGGTGTTCGAGGAGGACGGGTTGGGCCCATGCCTTCGGATTGTTCTTATAACCGCCCCCGGGTCTGGCTTGGCCACCTCGGGGTCGATCGTTGTATTGTGCTTCGCGGTTGGCCGGAGGGGGAAGCCCTCCAGGCCGATTTCTGCCATCATTCTTTTGGGAAGGGTCCGTGTTACGGCGATCCTTCTCGATCTCCTCTGCTTCGGCGTATCGGTCTCCCCGCTGGAGGGCCTTCGTATAATCGCGGGGGGGATCAGTGATAAGGCTCCTGGAGAAGTTACCGTTGCAGAGGACGGTGTGGAAGAGGGTCATCAGTGTTCTGTCGTCGGCGCCTTCGACCTCAAGGGAGGCCTGCCTCCAGCGCTCTAGGAAACTCCGAAGGGTTTCCTCCTTTTGTTGTCTCACGTTCAAAAGGTGAGAGAAGTTTTTCTTTGAACGGTGCCTCCCGGCGAACTGTGTGAGGAAGCGGTGGGCAAGTTCTTGCCAAGAATCGATGCTGCCCTCGGGCAATCGGTTGAACCACTCATATGCTGGCCCCTCCAAGGTGGAAAGGAACCAACGGCATAAGTATTCATCTGATGCCCCCATCATCATCATACTATTCTGGTACCTGCTGTAATGTTCTTGGGGATCCGTCTTCCCCTCGTATGGTTTGATGGGTTGCCCCCGGTATTTGTTGGGGATCTTGGCCGTCAGTACCCTTGGGGTGAAAGGTGTTCTAGTGCGAAGTTGGATGAGGGGTTCATCAGAGCCTTCGGCGAACTTGCGTTTCATTTCCTCCACCTGCGCCCGGAGGGCTGCATATTCAGGATCAGGTCCCGGAGTGGAAGCCGTCGGTGGTTCCTGACGCGTCTCCTCGAGTTGTCGGAGGAGGGCCTCAATAATTTAATCTTTGGGGTCCTTCGGGGCAACCCCTTGGGAGTTGGCCCGGAAGGATTGAGCCTGATTAATCTGGTGTCTGGCGTCGTCGGCGTGGAGGGGGCGTTTGCCTTTGTCCCGCGGAGGAGGCATGCCCTCGATACCCGAGGTGGAGGCTCCGCTCTCCTGGGGCCTGCTAAATGTCGGCTTACCGAGGCGGTCTTGGACCCCTCGGTGACCGGGAGCTCCTCCTAGCCTCTCGAGTGCGGAGGTTCGGGGTTTCTCCTTGTTTATGGGGTGCTTGTCCTTGGATTGGGCCTCTTGGGAGGCGGTATCTTGTGCCATGACCCCTTCGGCGTTGCCAATCCCCAGAGGAGGATTGTTGAACAGAGGAGGGAGTGGCGGAAACTGGACAATATTTCCTCCAGCATGGGGCTGGAGGGGTGTCTGTAAGACGAAGGCTCCAGGGTTAAGAGCCATATTTTGGACAAAGGCCGCAAAGGCAGCCTGAATATCGATGGCCGGGGCCGGAGGGGGAACTTGATTCTCACTCCGATCCCTCCTTCGATTATCAAGCCCAATGCGGGCATCTGGGGCGTTCTTCTGTAATTGTTGACGGAGGTCATTAGTGGCCTGCTCTAATTCGAGAATGGCACCGCCCTCGAGTACCAAGAGCCTGTTAGAGGTTTCAGCCCCGGTTGTTTCGCCGAGAGGTTTCAGCCCCGGTTGTTTTGGATTGAGCACGAGTCGTTCTCCCCATCTCGGTAGGTGTTTTTTGTGTTTGGTGAAGGGGAGGGTTTCTCACTTGATTGTTCAGACCTCTCAACGAGAGTACCAAATGATGGATAGTCTACCCGGGGGGTGTCCTATCCGAGGGGTTATTACGGGAATAACTAGAGAGAAGTCAGAGCAAATAGGAGGAGAGAGAGTCGATTTATTAAATGAACTCAGCGTGTGAGAGTTGGGATCCCGGATCGTTTACAAGGAGAAATGGGCGGCTATTTATAGCAGCAATAAATGCGATGAGAGTACACGTGTCAGTAATCCAACGGCCGAAGGGTCACATCAATCGGGTGGCACCGGCAGCGGCATGTTCACCGCATTAAATGTGGTTGGTGGATGGGACGTCGCATTAAATGCGATGGTTTCTTGTCTCCAAAGGGAATCTCCGATGATTGAGTAGTTGGCCGAAGGCTCCCCCTTCGGCCGAGGGTTCGATGTAGTCGAAGAGACGTGGATGCCGAAGGCTTCCCGATGCCGAGGGCACCTTGTGTGCCGAAGGCTCCTGATAGCCGAGGGCTACCATTCCACGCCGTTTTCTCCCAGTGTTTTCTTATGTTCAAAACTTGCTGCCCTGTGTAATTTGGAGCCTTCGGCCAAGGAGGCCGAAGGCATCCCAGTGTGTATTCTGGGCTCCTTCAAAGCTTGGGCCATTGTATTTGGGCCTGAGATGCTCCCTGGGCTCAATGGGCCTTTGTAGGAGAAGTAGGAGTCTATGGGCGGGGGGGGTCCTGGGCCATATACTCCATCAGTATGGTACTTTAAGTCGTTAATTAAGGGTACCATAGAATCTACCTTTGAGAAAATATGCATTTCAATTTTTGTGCTTGCATACATTAATTAGATAATGCACAGAATTAACTAGTCTTATTAGCAGTGCTCATTTTACCTAATTAACTTTCTAAAGCAAAATGAAAGACAATGTTCAAGTGATAAACTATTAACCTAAAATTGTACCCATGTCCTCGGAACGAACCATATGAGATGCTCTTATAGTCGGATGAAGTTTTCTTTCCTAATTTATGCATGCCTTAAATGTTACTTGTCACACTCCTAATTTCCAAACCGGTTTCTTCGTTAATGAGAATGATATTCCATCTAAGACATATGGTATTTTGTCTTTTACCTCCAACATGTACTTTGCTGCGTGTGTGCCATTGATTTTGATCTTCCTCTCTGTTGCCGCCGTCCTGTCTATGTAACAGTCCTTCACTTAAAGGCTTGTGACGATGTTGTGAGTCGTTTTAATAATAAATGTGCATTACGTATTAATTATGTATTGTTTTAAGTGAAAATGAGTATCATGAGCAAAATGTAATTGCGACAAAGAGACTTAAACGTGCAACAAAAAAAATTAAAACATACTTCCTCCGTTCTTTTTTAATTGCAACAGTCAACTTTTCAAGTTTGATCATTAATGTCTTTCATTCCTTCAGGGGCGGAGTCAGAACACTGGACCAGACTGGGTCGGTACAAAGAATATTTTTAGAAAAAAATTTACACGGAATTTTTTACTTTAAAAATTAAGCTATTTTTGAAATTTGGGGTGGGCCATGGCCTAGGTTGGCCCACCCCTAGCTCCGCCCATGATTCCTTATTAGTAAAAAAATAAAAAAAATCAGATTTTGAAAATTTATTATGAGAGGAATTTAAAAATATTTTTTAAAAATTTAATTCATAATATATTAATAAATAAAATGTAATCAAAGTAGAATCTGTGAATAGTGAAAAAAGTTCTACGTTGCAACTAAAAGAAAACGGAGGTAGTACACAAATCTTGAAGTGTGCATTATCTAAGAGCATTTAATGAGAACAATCTTGTTCACCCTCATTTGAGAGGGTTATGTTCACCCCACTCCTATTTGTCTGCCATGTGGCAAGGTAATACTTCACAATTTGGAAATTGTTTTATCTTTTTTCTTTTTTAATCCATTTTTTTAAAAAAAATATATCAAATTTTTTCTTTTTTTTATGATCTTTCATATGGTACTAATATTGCATATAAAAAGATTTAAAAAAAATGAACTAAAAATAGATATTTTAGAAATAAATGTTTTTTTCAAATTTTTTATATATACAAAATTGATATCATTGGAAAGATCATAAAAAACTAAAAATCTGATATATTTTTTTATATAAAAAGTAGATTATAAATAAAAAAAAGTTATAACATTTTAAGGGAAAAAATGGGATGGAATGCCACATGGCAACCATAGAGCAAAGGAGGTGAACATCACCCTCCTTAGAGCATCTCCAATGGTATAATGTGCACAGTGCACACATGGCATGAGAGATAGCTACATAAATATTAATAAATAAATTTTCTCTCTCCTTATTTTAATGATTTTATACAGATTTAGTAAGTTTTTCTCCACAATGTCAAAGAGACCGTCTAAATGTTGACATTGCAATTGACATTGCAGGGAAAAACTTACCAAAATTGTATAAAATCATTCAAATAAGGAGAAAGATAATTTATTTGCTAATATTTATGTGACTATCACTCATGTCACATGTGCACCGTGCACATTTTAGCATTAGAGATGCTCTTAGTGAGGGTGTACAAAACTACACTCGCATTTAATTGCCAACTCAAAAAAAATGTACACCATATTTTTGGAAATAATCATTCTCTTCATATTTTGTTATGAATGTTTTTTATTTGCATTTTTTTTTGGTCTGATTTTCTCTGCAAAATAAATTTGATCTGATCCAGTTTTTCTTATATGAACCTTTTTAATTGAGTGTATGTGAATCACATTTTTACTATTATCAAACTATGAATCGTTTGGTAACACTGTTTTGCGGCTTATCAGTACAAGTCAACTCACCAAACATGTACTTCAATTCCGTCCCATGAAACTTGAGAAAGAAAGAAAAAACATATTCATTGTATTTTAGAAAATCATTTTCTGTACGTTTTAATGCTTGTTTTCTCTTCATTTATGAGAGAAAAGTCAGCAATGAAACATTACCAAAAAGCAAACTGCACACATGGTTCAAAGTGCAAACAAAATGTGACAGTCTAAAGTCTGAAAGTATGAAAATAGATGAAACCTTTCAATGCATTCAAGAGAAAAACGACAGACACTGAGACACTCATGGATAGAGTGCAACAAAACTAATTCTAAATACTTTGTAATCAAATCTTAATGCATAAATGCTAATGTCTAATGAACCCTTGAACCACAACTTCTTCTCAAACAGAACTGGAATTAACAGTGAATTAACTAAAAATAGATGAAACCTTTCAATGCATTCAAGAGAAAAACGACAGACACTCGTGGATAGAGTGCAATAAAACTAATTCTAAATACTCCGTAATCAAATCTCAATGCATAAATGCTAATGTCTAATGAACCCTTGAGCCACAACTTGTTCTCATCTTCCCCTTTCTTCCACAAACAGCACTGGGATTAACAGTGAATAAACTAAAGCTTCTTCCATCAAGGGGAGCATTTGTGCTCCTTGCCGGGTACAAATTGGAATGGCCCAACAGTGAAAACTGGATACGGCAGCGTTTTGTTCACAGAAGGTGGGTGGAAGTTCAAAGGGGCTCCAACATGGCCAAGATTCAAATTTGTGGTGACATTGCAGTGAGGATTGCCTGAAGAGACCAGGAAAACCTTGCACTTATGCCAACCAGCAGACAGGGACGGATCCAGGATTTCTATTCAAGGGGGACGAAATTTTTTGGTAGTGTAGGGGTGAAAAAAAATTCGTTAGTGTAGTGGGGCGAAATTTTTTCCCCTAGTGTAGCGGGGCGAATTTTTTCCGCTACTGTAGGGCTATGCGGCTAATTTTATTCAAAAAATGACATTGATACATACACACCCCCAACGAAATTTAAATCTATTAAGTTTTACATTCTAAGTTTAATTTAGACAATGACAAAGACATCAACCAATACATTTTTAATAACTTCTACATTGTTTAACCTCGTGAATCGGTTATTATTGAATTGTAATTTTTGTCCGGCCACGAAGGAGGGTGTTCGTGAGTCATGACTCATGAGAAGTTTTCTTAATATTACAATAGTAGTATGTATGATATTATTATTTTTAGAATAGTATGCACCACATACACACACACATATATTGTGAATATTATATTTTAATATTTGTATTAATGCTATAATAATTTAAAGTTTATTATCTATGCAATAAATTATTTTTAGAAAGCAAGAAGTAAATGAATTATGTAATTTAATGTCAATAAACATTTATATTTTGGGTTCATTTCACGTGATCTAAAAACTGTGTAATTAGTGTGTCTGATATTTAATATTGTTTGATATATATTTTACAAAATTAAGTACTTGTTATCTAATAAAAATAATTAAACATTACAAAACTAGGAATTCTTATATAATAAGTATCCTAAATCTTAAACAACGAGTTATTCTATTGTTTATTTGTTTAAGTTATGTAATTATTTTAGATGTTCCTTCTTTTAAATCTTCAATTAAGTATTACATTATGTAACACTATATATTACTTTTGAAAATTAAAAGCTAAGGGGGACGAATCTAATTAAATTATGAAAGTTTTATGAAAAATATTACATATATGGTAGAAAATTTTGAAAGTCCAAGGGGGGCGGTCGCCCCCCGCGCCCCCCTAAATCCATCCCTGCCAGCAGAGGTGACAATCTTAGGAGTTAAGAAGAAAGACCCATTCCTGTCTGTGTGTACACTCTCTTCCAAGTGATACCTTGTGTTGTTGCAGGCAATTTTCACCACAGCCCCTGCACCACAAGAAAAAATGAATGTTTTTACATTTTCCCCAAAAAGATTGAATCTTTGAGGATAATAACACAATCCCAGAATTTTTAATGAATAGTTAACTCACCCTCAATAGGATGGTAATATGGTGTGGAGATGTTGCAAGACTTGCAGCGTACAGATCCACAGATAGCTATGGATTTCTTTTGTGCTGATGGAGATGGCAACGGTGCCTTGACTGGTGGTAGGGGGTGGTGGAGGAGGTGTGGCTTGGGGGGCGCAGCAGTGGGGGGTTTTGCTGCAGGAGGTGATGATTTAGGAGTGGCAGGGTGTGGTGGTGGTGCGGTGGCAGGATGGTGGTGGAGGTGGTGGTGACCACTAATGGGAGCAGGTGATGGGGAGTGGGAATGATGAGTGGCAGGTCTATTTGCAGGCGGTGTTGGGGATTTGGGTGGGGTGGCTGCCGTTGGTGGCGCGGCGGTTCCATGGTGGTGGTGGTGGTGGTGGCCTTTGACATGAGTAGAGGCCGGAACTGGGGAGTGTGGGTGAGTGGGAGATGCGGTGGTCGGGTGGTTGGGGCTAGGAGCGGGGGCGTGAGGAGGTTGTTTGACTGCAGGTGGTGATTTGGGAGCGGCGGCTGCCGGTGGATGGTGGTGGTGGTGGTGGTGGTGAGGAGCAGGTGCTGGTACCTGCAGGCTCATAGAAATACGGCCATCATTTTGGTCAAGCACTGAGATGGAGAAGGGAAGTGAGAGGTGGGTCAATACCAAGATGCAGAAAAAGAAGAAGGATTTGGATTGGGGAACAGCCATAGCCAAAGCCATGTTATGGTGATGAACTGAAGTGAGACTGTGAGAGAGTGAGAATGGGGGCTGTTGAGTGTGTCAACGGGACTCTTTATGTATTTATAGGACCATTGAACATGTCCCTCCTGTTACTCTATATCTTCCTACCCTGTTTTCGTTTTCAAATACTCCACTACTCTTTGTTTGTTTTTGTTTTTCGGTCACAAATAAACTTTCATTTTCTATTCTTGGTATTTAAAATTTTGCTAAACTTTATTTTTGGATGTTTGATAAACTATTTTTTTCGGTAAGATTTCCGTTTAAAAATACTCAATTACTGTTATGTTTTCTACATTTTGTCTTTTCTTTCAAAAAAAATCATCTTTTCCATTATTTTCCACATTACACCTACTATTTTACTTTTAAATGTCGTGTCTAAACTTATTGTAGAGAACTTTCAAATACAAAGGGAGTATTTTGAAATGCATTTATGCAATTCTGGTTAGGCTAACCACTAGGGGAGAAGCCGGGAGAGAAGTACCTATAGGGGTAGGGTCCCTACTATTCTGGCAAGCCTTCTTTACAAGTCGACAAACCCCTTTTATTTGACTTGCGCCCGGGTATAATTTATTGGTGAAAATGTTAAGCTTTCTTCATTAAATGTAGGTTATATAGATCAAATTTTACCTTAATTTAATTGGGAAGTCAATTAAATAAATCATTTAAAAACAATGTGCCAAAATATAAATAAAATACGCATTGTTTTTAATACTGTACTTAACTAACTTAAAATTGAATTCTAAAGAAAAAATTTGTAGACATAATCTATACTTCATGAAGAACATGATCACAAACTTTCATCAAAACATTCAGCCGTTGTATGGTTTAACTGTGTGGCAATGGTGTTAGTCCAGGATGGGGGCTCAGAGGACCCTTGTAATAAAGGGGGGTCCTCGTCCTGATTTGGATTAATGGCTCCTCGCAACCGTCGGCCACCTATCGCTCTAGTATATCCACCTTTCGCAACAGGGGGGCATATGCGGGGTCCAGTGTGGCATGGGCCGCTGATCTGTTGTTGTATTGCCTCTATCTGGGACAAACGCCTCTCTAGTTGGGCGATCACTTCATTTCAGAGGTCTTTCCCCACCATGGTGGCCCCTTATTGTCCCTCGATGCATGCGGCGTTGGCCTGGTTTATTTGATGGGGGCATCCCTTACATGGCTACATGGAACTACCTTTGCCCTTGTCCAGGGGGTGTCGGTCCGCTGTCCAGGATACTGACCCCAAGCTTTCACGCGGTGAGTTGGACTTGTGATCGCCCAATCAACCTCCCATTCTCTCTTGACACTTGTCGGCGGTGCGCGTCCCCCAACACTTTGAAGACCGGAGTGTGGCCACATCCGTTGTTATGCTCAATGCAAGGACGTGAGGCAATGTGTGACGCGGTGTCTTGGACCGCGATGCTTTCATTGTTGTTGCCTTAAGGAGACTGTGGGTTCTGGTGGGGGAGATGGTGACGTCTTTTTGTCTCTTGTCTTGGGTATGAGGGCGCCCAGAGCCACAAGGTTCTGGACGAGGCTTGCGATGATGATGGATAGCGTCGCTTGAACCTAAGCATCCACAAGGGAGTGGTTTCTGGCTTATGACTGGGCTAAGTCCTCTCGTTGTGCCTTCTTTCAAGACTGGTGCGTGCATCTAGAGTGTTGATGTTAATTTGGCTGTGAATGTCGATCGTTGGGTCGATTGTGTGTTGGAACTTGACCTCCTCGGCTGCCTTTTTGGGCATGGCGCCTCTCAATTAATACGATACTCGGCAGTTAAGATACACTCACCCCAGAACTCAATAGGTAAATTAGCTTGAAACCGCAAGGCTCGAGCTACATTCAGAATATGTCGGTTTTTTCGTTCCACACGCCCATTCTGTTGAGGAGTACCCCTACAAGAGGTTTCATGCAATATTCCTTGGGACGCAAAATAATCATTTAAACATTCAAACTGTGAAAATAATGGGAAGCGTAGCTCCAATAGGAGCTCTGGCAGGTATATTTATAATAAATAAGAGTTGCCAAAATACATAAAGTTTCCTAACTTATGTTAACTATTACACCCCCTCAAGCTGTGCGGGAGATACAACGCGCAGGTTGTCCTTTAAAAAAATAAACTGTTGAAGATGAGTAGGGACATATTTTACTAACAAATCACCATGAGCAACTCTCTCACGAACAAAATGATAATCAATGTGAATATGCTTGCTTCGAGCATGCTGAACTGGATTGGCTGTCATATAAGAGGCAAATATATTATCACAAAATAGTTGTGCTGGGTCTCGAACTGCAAAGCCGAGTTCGAACAAGACAGAACGAATATGAAGTGTGTCCTGAACTGTGTATGCGATAGCTCTATATTCTGCCTCTGTGGAGGATTTAGATACCGTAGGTTGCTTTTTGGACTTCCAAGACACAAGAATAGGACCCAGAAAAATAGCAAACCCTGTAGTGGACCGTGAGGTATCTGGACATCCTGCCCAATCTGCATCCGAGTAGGCCAAAATACGTATGGGGCGAGCAGACTGTTGAAGCCATAATCCATGATCAATAGTGCCTTGTAAATAACGAAATATGCGCTTCACAGCAAACATGTGAGTGGTCCGTGGGGCATGCATAAACTGAGACACTAAATAAACTGCATAAGTAATATCAGGTCTTGTCAAAGTTAAATATTGCAATGCACCTACCATACTACAATACTTAGTAGCATCAGCAAGAAGTTCGCCATCAGTGAGGGAGAGAGTGCTACGAGTAGCAACCGGAGTACGAACAGACTTGAGAGTGTGTAAGTGAAAACGGAGAAGAAGATCAGACACATATTTTTGTTGCGACAAAAACAAGCCATTATATTTTCGAGTAGCCTGAACACCCAAAAAATAATGGAGATCACCACGATCCTTCATGACAAAGTGAGACGCAATGCGACTGATAAATGAGGACACAAGAGATGGAGAATTACCAGTAATAATAATATCATCCACATATAATAATAAATAAATAGCAGACTCACCCTAACGATAAATGAACAATAAATTATCTGACTTACTACACACAAAATTATGAGTAAGTAAGAAACTAATGAAACGATGAAACCATGCCCGCGGGGCATGCTTAAGACCATAAATAGCCTTTCGCAAACGACACACATGATGAGGATATTGAGGATGAACAAAACCCCGCGGTTGACGCATATAAACCTCCTCAGTAAGGTAGCCATGAAGGAATGCATTTTTCATGGTGGGTTTAACAACAGGACTAAATGTTTTAGAAAAATCTACCCCAGCCTGCTGATTAAACCCTTGAGCAACTAAACGTGTTGTATGACGCTCAATGGTTCCGTCAAAATGAAATTTAGTTTTATAAATCCACTTAGACCCAACCACATTTTTAGTGCTATCAAATGGAACTAAATCCCATGTATTATTAGAAATAAGCGCATTACACTCATCTGCCATTGCCTCATGCCAAATTAAATGTTTTTGTGCCTCAGAGTAACATGTGGGATCGGCTGAAGTAACAATTGTGTTTAATGTAAAAACTGATTTGGGTTTAAAAATACCGGACTTAGCTCGGGTTTGCATGGGGTGGACATTGATTCGGGGAACCATAGAACTAGAGATGGGAGATGACGCTGGACTAGAGACACTAGAGCTGGAATTTATGTTGGCCTAGATGGGCCTGCTGAGTTGCTACGAGCTGGGTGAAGGGGAGGTGTCAGGTGTGGGTGGTGCCTGAAATAAGGAGCTAGTCTAGGGCTGAAGTGTGCTGGCAGAAAGAGTGGAGGAGGTCTGGGGTGTGCTGGTAGTGAGGTCGTGGGTAGAGGGTTCGCTGGGATGGTGGGGAACCGAGGGAGTGTTACTGGTGACTTTTGGAGAAGGTGGCTTAGTTGTGGGCAACATTGGTGGAGAAGGAGGAATGGTGGTCCTAAGAGTATTGGTTAAGAGAAACTGGGATTCGTCTATAGTTGAAGGTCACTCATCGGAGGAGGAAGTTAACATATAAAAATGAAAAACGTGTTCAAGAAAACGGACATGACGACTGACATATACTCTGCCAGGTTTAGGATCAAGATAACGATACCCTTTATAACTAGATGCATAGCCTATAAAGACACAGTGGACAGAACGGGCAGAAAGTTTGTTAGAAGAAGAGGCAGCAATATTAGGAAAAAAGGAGCACCCAGACACGCGCATAAAGGAGTAATCGGGAGATTTTTGGAAAAGTCTTTCATATGGAGAAGTATAAACGAGTAAAGGAGAGGGTGAACGATTAATAATATATGCAGCAGTAAAAATAGCATCAACCCAGAACTCACTCGGAATAGAGGCTTCAAGAAGCATAGTCCTAGTGAGTTCTAGAAGATGACAATGTTTGCGTTCAGCAAGCCCATTGTGTTGGGGAGTGTCAGGACATGATTTACGAAAATAAGTACCATTAGTATCAAAAAATTGCTGCAAATTATTATTAACAAATTCACCCCATCCATCACTTTGAAAAATTTTAATTTTGGTATTAAACAAATTTTCATCTAATGCTTTAAAAGTATGAAAATGATGAAAAACTTCGGCCTTCGTGTGGGGGTATAACCAAGTATATCGTGAAAAATCATCAATAAAGCACACATAATATTTAAAACCCAAATTAGGGAGAACAGCCGAACAGGCGACTGTCAAACATCAGAATGTATTAATTGCAATGGCATAGTAGAATTGTGACTAGCATCCGTAAAAGGTAAACGTTGAGACTTGCATAAACGGCATGAAATACAGTCATGAGAAAAACTAGAGCTACTACAGATATGACGCCGACTATGTAAACTGCGTAAAATAGAATTGCCACAATGGCCTAATCTACGGTGCCACACAGGGCCAGACGAAGTGAGAGAAGACAACGCAACTAGAGGTTGGGGGCTGAGGCTGACAGGATAGAGATGACCATGACTAGGTGCTTGAAGAAGGACCTTCCCCGAAATTTTGTCGTTAACAAAAAAAATTATCGAAAATTATAACACAGTTGTTATCAGCACAAAGTTTTTGAATAGATAA